GTGTGTGTGTGTGTGTGTGTGTGTGTGTGTGTGTGTGTGTGTGTGTGTGTGTGTGTGTGTGTGTGTGTGTGTGTATGTGTGTGTGTGTATTAAACATGGGCATATCCTTGAATTCTGGAGGGGTGCTGTTAATAGCAACGGGCGGGTTGAAGATACCCCTTTGATTTTTTGCCACAACTCCTCGCTCCTCGTTGTTGTCTTCCGTGTGATCACGGCTGCTGATGCTGCTCTGACTGTCGCCTGTAACCATGGCAACAACTCGTCGGTGCTGCAGCGGAGACGAGCGCGAGTGGGGGAGACGTGCGCAGATACGTTTACACCCAGAGCTACAAATGGACTCACAGTCATGCTGCTATATTTACATCCAGAGCTACACATGAACTCACAGAGTTACGCACGCTACATTTACACCAAGACCTACATGTGAACTTACACAGTCACACTGCTAAGTTTACACACAGAGCTACACGTAAACTCAGAGTTACGCCGCTATATAGTGTTTATATTGTGAATCCAGTGGAAGTGATGCAAGTGTAACTGAAATGATATGGAAGATGGCCAAATATGGAGCACTGGCCGCGCATAGAAGAGAAGTGCGCGCGGCAGAGGGAAATGAAAAGATAACATGGTGGATCCGTGCGCCATAATGAAAGCCAGCGCACGGATCCAAAGAAAAGACTAGGTGACAGAAAGTGTTCCACCTCAGGGTGGCATGTACGAACCGCCGCAGTATATATAGTCTATTTCACGCAGCTGTCCCTAATTATTTCCCAGTCCGCTGCGCCTTGATGAACAGTACTAGTAGAGTCCACTAAGTATTTGCACTCGTTAACGAAGCCTGCCAAAGGCCGTGTCACAAACGGGGCGGTGCCCGTGCATGGTTAATTCGTCAGTGATAACACTGATATACACATTGGCTCCCCCCCCTCACATCGGCAGTTAGGTGATGTCCTTAATTTGTTTGAACCCTACCAGGTGTTGCCTGGGACATCAACAGTTTGCTGCATGTATATCGAGCTTGTGACAAGGGCATGGGGAGCAATACGTGCACTGCCGTATACATAGACTGGTACGCTGCAGTTTGCTGCATGTCTATCGAGCTTGTGACAAGGGTTTGGAAACATTCTAGGCCTATTTTCACATTTGACATGGATTCTTCCGCTCACTCAAGATAGATGAAATAGTTCTATTTGTATTTTCATTTTCACAATAAGTGCACGAAATTTAACGAACTACAGCTTGTGATCTTCTATTTACATACCATATCGGATAAACACAAAAGTTTGCTTCGAACTGTTATAGTTGAAAACTTAACCACTTTTTGAGCGATCGACATAACCTGTAGAATTTGTATTGATAGTCATCGCCGTCTCGGTGTAAGTAGTCTGCTTCGCAGTCGGGTATCGTTTCACTCACAAAAAGGCGCGAACGTCCAGTACGCTTCTCTTTCCTTTCTGATGGGAATCGTATGGGTGAAAGGGGGGGGGGTGACAATATTTTAGAATTAAGTAAGTATATGTGGCTGAATTTGCTCTTAAAAGTTGTTCCTACGCGTTTTTCCCCGAGCAACGCCGGGTACCAGGCTAGTATATATATGCGTGCGTGCGGACTCACGTACATGCGTACTTATACGGGGGTTTGTGAGTGCTGGCTTGCGTACGTACGCACGCTAGTGTGTCTTACCGTATATGCGTTGACAGCTTCGCTTTTGACGTTTTCTTTGGTATAATGTTATATTCAAAAAATGATGTACGCGATTGTTTTTTTAACATTATTGTTAATATACACAAATGCAGCACACAGTACTTGCACAGATATAACGAACTACAGCTTGTGATCTTCTATTTACATACCATATCGGATAAACACAAAAGTTTGCTTCGAACTGTTATAGTTGAAAACTTAACCACTTTTTGAGCGATCGACATAACCTGTAGAATTTGTATTGATAGTCATCGCCGTCTCGGTGTAAGTAGTCTGCTTCGCAGTCGGGTATCGTTTCACTCACAAAAAGGCGCGAACGTCCAGTACGCTTCTCTTTCCTTTCTGATGGGAATCGTATGGGTGAAAGGGGGGGGGGTGACAATATTTTAGAATTAAGTAAGTATATGTGGCTGAATTTGCTCTTAAAAGTTGTTCCTACGCGTTTTTCCCCGAGCAACGCCGGGTACCAGGCTAGTATATATATGCGTGCGTGCGGACTCACGTACATGCGTACTTATACGGGGGTTTGTGAGTGCTGGCTTGCGTACGTACGCACGCTAGTGTGTCTTACCGTATATGCGTTGACAGCTTCGCTTTTGACGTTTTCTTTGGTATAATGTTATATTCAAAAAATGATGTACGCGATTGTTTTTTTAACATTATTGTTAATATACACAAATGCAGCACACAGTACTTGCACAGATATATACTTACTATTCATTTCGTTTATATCGTTGTATATTTGTTTGTTTTATTATTATTGACGATTATAGTACATGCGATGCGGTCTATACCACGGGAATATCAAGATATTTTTAAGTTATGATATAATTTGGAAAGATGCCGTTTTAACTAGTGATATCAACAGCAAGCAAAAGACTGTCCTGTAGGTGCACTGTCATCGTGATAGATCATAATCGTCTGAGGATTTACACAAGTTTTATATTATATATGTTTGTCTCTATGAAGAATAATACAATAGATAGTCTGTCAGGATCTGTCTATGTCATAAACATATGCGTCTGTCTATATATATATTGATAGTTTGTCCATTATATTACTCCTGTAAATGTATGTGTATTAGCATTCATGTTCCTATTACGAAGTACAATTATTCGGATCCGTAATTATGATAATACACAGAAATTGCTTTTCGATAAACGATTTAGGAATTTATTTGAGCCAATGTTTATATTAAGCTAATTCTACATTCAGATATTTATATAGATTCTACAAATTATTGGTAAAATTTTACGCTTTGTCCCGATATGGGGGTGAGATGTGAACATTTTGTTCTCACCGCTTACTATATATTGCTTATGGAATGACGGTGAAATTGTAAAATATCTACACTATCATCAGCATCCTCTATCTTGAACGGAATCCCATGAGTCATGTCTGTACTCGAGCATCTACCTAAAAAAGGAAAACCATTCATGCGTAATGCACAATACTTAATAGCTTATGAGTACTTATGTCTCTGCGCAATTTGTTGAGATACTCTACTATTAAATATGTTTGCAGGTATATGCCCATAGCTTATTATGTAGCTTTCCGCGTCACGACCGTTGATTGATATAAGCGAACGTACTTACGTATAGTGTCGATATCAAATCTTCTAGCCGTAATATCTTCCTCTGTAACCCTGTCCACCATAGCGGCCGTGTCCACCATAGTTGCGGTATCCACCATAGTTGCGGCGGTATCCACCATAGTTGCGCCCGTATCCACCATAGTTGCGGCCGTACCCACCATAGTTGCGGCCGTATCCACCATAGTTGCGGCCATATCCACCATAGTTTCGGCCGTATCCACGGCTGGGGTAGTACGAGCGAGACCTATACCCACCATAAGATGGTGTGACGGCGGCAACCTGACAATAACCATACATGTCTTAGATAAGGCTGTATAAATTACCAATTGGATCTAATATAATAGCGTGAAACGTTAACAAGTATGTAATTAAGCAGACCAGTTTTCTCGAAACGTTTTCTAACAGGTTATAATTTAATAGATTTACCGTAAAATAACATTGTTGTTAATGTTAATAAGCGTGGGTAAAAGGAAATTAATCACATGTTACTTGGTGAATTTGAGAAATAACGTTTGGCGCAATTATAGGTGCAACTGCGTTGTTGATTAAGCGAAATACAGTACATCACTCACATGGGTGCTTCTAGAATGGGGTTTAGAGGATTATAACGCTCCAGCCCCTCTTTCGCGACTGCACGGCTGATTATAAGCTTGTTTGGGGCAAAACATTTTTTCGGTAAAAATAGAGTTAAATACCTCGAAATCCAAACTATATAGTTCAAAATCAATCGAATTGCAAACGTAGGCCTACACTAAAAAAACTGTTTGTGTTGTATCTGTATGTACTGTTTCTGTTATGTTGTATCTTCAACCCGCCCCTTATTAACATACATTGTAACAAAAATGGTTTTTGTCATTTAGCTCCACTAATTCCGTCGTTTAGGATCAATATTTGACGCAGACTCGTTAAAGATCAGAGAAATCTCTTGCTGATACAAAATGTATGTGGGGCATTCTTACATTTCAGTTAAAGTTGGTGGGCCGAGTCCGTTGTCTACAACGGAGAATTTGTTACTACCAAGACAGTGATTGGAGGTTTCGCGTGTTTTAGGTGTTTTCAACCAGGTGTGTAAGAGGAAACTAAAGAATGCTTCGTGCTAGTTATTGGTAAACAGAGCGACGTCATCGAGTCGGGTTGAAACACGCATTGTGAGCGCGTTTCAAAACCTGATTAGCATCGGTGTCTTATGCACAAGTGCATTCATCAGTATCTGACTGCGTCCGTGAACCTTCGGCACAATTTTACCAGCTATGTTCAATAATCGAATAAAACATAGATACCGTAAAAATCTCTAACTAAATGTATGGTTTATACGTACCATCAACATTAGGACAACGAGTCCGCAGATTATAGATACGGCTTTCATATTGACCTGTAAACCAAATAAAGAAATGTATATTAACCGAAATATTAAACGATTTACTCTGTTTTATAACTAGCCAACGGAACCTTGGCCAACAAAATTGATTAGGAAAGAAAAATTTTATTATTGTCTACAGATAATAGTTTAATGTCAATAGGAAATAAATGAAACATGATTCTAAACGTTTACGACTTAGAAAACCATAGAAAACTATTTACACTTACTTTTCGGCGAGCTCAGATAACAACTGACAGGGAAACGCTGCAGATAATGTTGATGTTTGCATATCCTTCTCTATTTATACAGTTTTGTGTGGGTGTGTGACCCACGTGAGTGTAGAAAACAGGTTGACTTTTCAGTATTATGCGGCACGACTTTTGCTGCCCTCCAGCAACCGTCGTGACACTCGAGATTTATTCCTCTCTTGTTATTCCTCTGTCCTGCATCACGACTTTGCGCTTAGTTGGTATGAACAGCGTGCTTGGCTCACAATGAGCACGAAGGTCACATGGGACATCGTAACTATAATCACTTGCCCAGTTATAGTGACAGCTCAAGGTAACGGCAAAGTTTGAGGATAAGAAAGGACGGGTTTTACTTTTTCACGTGCATGAATTACTGCATAGGTTCACGCTACGTTGTCTACAGCCTATTCGAATTTTATCGAGTCTATTTTGTAGCGGAAAAATGAAATGCACTATCGCAATAGCAATTCTGATCAAAGTGGTTTATAATTGCCAGTATAAAATCAAGGTCCATAGCTGAAAATTGCCTATTTACGACCCCGTTTATATGTAATTTATATCAAAGCGCCATAGAGAGAAATAACATCAAGAGCGTATAAAGAAGGTGTGTGTGTGTGTGTGCGTGTGTGCCGAGAGATTTGTTTGTATCAAACATGATTAATTCAGTACATTTAACCCAATTGCAGTTTCACCACAACTACCTCCCTTATGCTACCGGACTGTGACATGGGCATACCATCAGCAATACCCAATCATATATCCATTACAATTTGTTGTTAAGGACGGGTGAGATGTAATGTTATGTCATACGTTCCGATAGATGGCGGGCGGAATGCAGGTAGTTCCAGTATTTTCAATTGATATTGAACAACAATTTGAAATCTTAACAATAATTGTTTCCCTAATCCTTTTTGCTGACTAGACTTTTCTTGTCTTATAAAACAGAGTAACTTATTTAGTCTGCATTTCTTCACTTGGTTCGCAGGTAAATATGAGAGTCGCATCTATGATTTATGGAATTCTCGTCCTGATGTATGTATGTTGATAATGTTGATGGTATGTATGAACCGTACTTTAGTTACAGTTTTTTGCGGCATTCATGCTTTATTCGATTACTCTACCTAGCTTAAAAAAGATTAGGAAAGTGTGTGTGTGTGTGTGTGTGTGTGTGTGTGGTGTGTGTGTGTGTGTGTGTGGCTGTGTGTGTGTGTGTGTGGCGTGTGTGTGTGGTGTGTGTGTGTGTGTGTTGTGGTTTTGTTTGTGTGTTTTGTTTGTGTGTGTGTGTGTGTGTGGTGTAGTGTGTGTGTGGTGCTGTGTGTGTGTGTGTGTGTGTGGTGTGTGTGTGTGTGTTGTGTGTGTATGGGGTATGCGAATAGCGTAAGCCAGCTTAAAAAACATGTGTGTGTGGGGGGTGGGGGGGTTTATTTGACAGCCAGCAGTGAAATTTACTATCGAAAACGAGAAATGTCGGCAAAGACGTACAGCGCTCGCACAGACTGTTCCAGCGCGAATAGCACCTAAGGGGGGGGGGCGGGGCTAAAAGTCTGGCGTAAAACCGCTCCCCCAATAAAATGTTTGAAAATGTAATGGCTCCAGGTGCGAGTTTCCACAGCACTTTGAAATGGGTATTTTTTGATGGACATGGAACTAGATGGAGTTTGTTTTAGTAACATTTCGTCGACATAACTGACTTGCTTGGACCCGAATTTCACGAGAAAATTAGTTTTTAAGTCCCTTAATCTCAATTAGGCGTTAATCTGATTTGTAAAAGTTAAATTGAAATGATTTAAACTAATTTAGTGAACTGTCACTTGACCCGGCTTATCATATTTGGCTCGTATCAACAATAGTATTTTCATATCTTATTGTACGTAAGCCTATAAATATTATTAGTTGCACATGGGATTTGTAGTAGCCCGTTGCTTAGTTTCTGGAACTAGTTTCCATTGTGATTATTTGAACAGTTCCCAGACAACTAGGCACGCTTACTGAAAACTCCATGTGCAAAATATATATACGCAAGACAAATAAGTGAAATACTGATTGTTATGCGACCACCGAATAAAAACTAGACAGAGAGGCACTGAAAGAGAGTGCATACTCCCGAGCGTGTAACATGTATACATGTGTATAGAAAACGACTGGCTCGCTGTCTGGTCTGCTGGCTGAATAACGCCCTAAGCGAGCTGCTGCTCTGACTGGACGCCGCTAAGGCGAGACTTGCTGCTGACTGGACCCCCTAGAGGCGAGCTGGTGCTGATCGATCGAATTCGTTGATGCGTGTGTTATAAACAGCTGGACTCGCTGCTTGGCTACACACATCACACGAAACACACACACCGAGCGATTGCATGACCTCCGCGTTTGCACGCGGAGGGTAATAGTCTCCGGAACACCCATGAGATTGTACTACGCTTATAAGCAAGCCTTTCAGCGGAACTTCCCGGATCACGCGCGGGGGGGGCAGAATCCCCTGGCTTTACGCCTCTGGTGTGTGTGTGTGTGTGTGTGCTGGTGTGTGTGTGTTGTGTGTGTGTGTGTGTGTCGTGACGTGTTGTGTAGTGTGATGTGGTGTGTGTGTGTGTGTGACGTGTGATGTGTCGTGTGTGTGGCGCGCGGTCGTGTGTGGTGTGTGGTGTGTGTGTGTGTGATGTGTGTCGTGTGTGACGTGTGTGTGTGGTGTGTGTGTGTGTGTGTGTGTGTGTGCTGTGTGTGACCGTTGTGTGTGGTGTGTGTGTGTGTGTGTGTGTGTACTGACGTGTGTGATTGTGTGTGTGTGTGTGTGTGCTGTGTGTGCTGTGTGTGTGGTGGTGTGTGTGGTGAACGTTGTGTGTTGTGTGTGCGTGTGTGTGTGTGAGTGTGACGTGTGCGTGTGTAGTGTGTGTGTGTGTGACCTTGTGTCGTGTGTGTGTTGTGTGTGTGTGTGTGTGTGGTGGCGGTGGTGTGGTGGTGTGTTATGTGTATATTAAAAATGGGCATATCCGTGAATTCTGGAGGGTGCTGTAAATAGCAACGGCGGTTAAGATACCCCTTTGATTTTTTGCCACAACTCCTCGCTCCTCAGCTGTTGTCACGTCGTGATCACGGCTTGCTGATGCTGCCTGACTTGTCGATCTGCAACGATGGCTAACACTCGCGGTGCTGGCACAGCGGAGAACGAGCGCGAGTGGGGTAGACGTCGCCAGAGTACGTGTTGACACCCAGAGCTACAAATTGACTCACAGTCCATGGCTGCTATACTTTACATCCAGAGCTACACGATGAACTCTCACAGAGTTTACCACGCTGGCATTGACGACGCAAGAACCTAACATGTGAACTTACACAGTCACAACTGCAGTTTACACACAGAGCTACACGTAAACTCTCAGAGTTACGCCGCTAATATAGGTTTATATTGTGAATCCAAGTGGAAGTTGAATGGCAAGTGTAAGCTGAAATGATACTGGAAGATGGCCAAATATGGAGCACTGGCCGCGGCATAGCAGCAGAAGTGCGCGCGATGCAGAGGGGAAGATGAAAGAAGAGTGAACATGGTGGATCCGTAGCGCCATAATGAATAGCCACGGCAGCAGGATGCCCAAAGAAAAGACTAGGTGACAGAAAGTGGTTCCAAACCTCAGGGTGGCATGTCACGAACCGCGCAGTATATATAGTCTATTTCACGTCAGATGTCAGAAGGTAGAAGTTATAACTCTTAGAGCTACGCCCGCTAATATAGTGTTTATATGTTGAATCCGAGTACGCTTCTCTTCCTTTCTAGGATTGGGGAGCGTATGGGTGAAGAGAGGTGGGGGTGACACATATTTTAGATCTACATAAGTAATGTGGCTGAATTGCTCTTATAAGTTGTTCCTACGCGTTTTTCCCCGAGCAACGCCGGTACCAGGCTAGTATAATATAATATATACTATCTATTACCCTCCTCCACGACGAGTTTGAGTGGGCGTCTGATGTTCGAGGATCGTGCGGTTTTTAACACATTTTATCTCTCACTTTAGTTGAGGCATGGTATTGTACAGTAAACCGAATATAATTGAATATTTATGACTCGAGTCATATATCAATATTTGTTTCAAAAAGATTGTCTAATATAGTATAAAAATCTGAATTTTACCTTAAATGACATGTAATCTTTCAAAAAAAGTGAAATGAGGTTGATTTCATATACAATTTGAGCTTATTTAGATATTATTTTTGAAAATATTATCTGGTTGTAAAGCATGAATAATAAGTGAAATTCCTGAAAAAAATGTATGAGTCAGTTTGGAAGATATAATTTGCTCTTTGAAAGGTCAGTGGACGGCGGCGGGCACCGGTTACAGCCTCCGCGTTGTCAAATATTGCACACGACGCGCGCCCAACACCACATTCCAACACACGCGCGCCCGCACGCACACACCGCATCACACACATACGGGCAATACGCACGCACATGCAACACGCGCACGGCCACGGCACCAACACAATACCAACATTTTCACACACACGGGCGTGCAAGACACATTACCACACGCACGCGCACACCACACAACACACACACACACACACACACACATCACACACACACAGACAACACACATCACATATCACACACATACAACTGCAGCCGTCTCTCGTTTGGGGTTTCGTCTCACCAGCTTGTGGCGCAGTGATTGGCTTATTATTATACACGCGCACCAGCAATGGCTTTGGTGTGTGCGTGTGTGCGCGTGCCGGTGGGCGTGCGTGGCGTGCCGTATCGTGCGTTAGTGTGGCTTGCTATGCAGGTGAAGGCACCCACCTAATTAAAGTGCTTATTATTGATACCTTTAATCTACATTTAAGTAACGTATGTTTATCATTAAACGCCGTGGACGAAAACACATTAATTTTTAACAGCAATTTCAAAATGTTAGGCATGTATAGTGTTGGTATGTGTGTGCTCTTAGACAATCGAAACGCGTCTAAAAATGTGAGAGGCATTGGGAAGCCGGGTAAGCGCGGGCTCGGTTACACCTCCGCCGTTGTCAAATGTTGCACACACGCGCGCACGCCATGCCACACACGACGCATTCACACACATACAGGCATGCGTACGCACAATCACACGCGACGCCATACCACATTTACACACACACGGGCTGCGGCGATCAGCACACACCGGGCTGCACAACGCACACCCACACCACACGCACACGTACATATACACACACAGCACACACACAAACACACACACACACACAGCACACACACCGCACACACAACGCAACACACACTACGCACGCAACACGCACCACCACACACACAAACAACACACACACATACAATACATACGATACATGTACAGTTGTTACACACACGCACGACACATCAACGCACGACACACACGACACACACACACACATCCACACACACACACACAGACGACACACACACACACACTCACACACAGCCAACACACACACACACACACACAAACAAGCACACACACCACACAGCCAATACATAACATACATGTAACCAGTTGTTACACACGCGCGACACACGTGCACGTTTTGCGGTAGCAGGTGATTCACATGCTGTGATTCGGACTGGCGCATGCGATTTGGCGATCTTAAAAATTTGGTGCGGGTTTGCGATGAGAAGGCACGTCAGATCACGAAGGTGATTCAGGTACTCTGGCTTGGACTGCGATGCGCATGCGGATTTTGCGATCTTAAAAGTTGGTAGCTGGGTTTCCGCGATGAATGCGAAGTTTGCTTCGGGCACATAACTCTTTTTAGGAGATAAAATTGCCTGAAAAAGTCACTTTAAACGTACCGAAAAATCGCGTTTCTGAACGTAAGCGGAATCTAGTCGCGACGCCCAGAAGGGGCCCCAGCTCGATTCGCGCGAGCACACGCG